CTAATTTACCATTTCAACTTTGTTGATATCCAAAATAATATAAATAATATAAATCAAACATTGACAGTACCCTTTGAGCCCTTAGAGTGACTTGTATCTAATTTCTCCTTGCAATATCACCTTTCAATCACAAATTTAGGTCACAAGAATAAAAGATTGTTACAAAACTTATCCTTGTCGGCAGCTTAGAAGACATAGAGTGAACAGTATGGAGAATGACTCATTGGCCTGCAAATACCCCTTCAAACACCACTTCCGACTTCTAAAGGTAAGGGTTGGCTGCATTTGCAGGAATTTGTTTTAACAAGTTCAACATCTTGAGTAGCATTTTTATTTTTTGAATTCTAAATACCATAAGCACCAGAGGAGGACAAAAATTCTTGGTCAATACAAATTACAAAATCAACCAAGAAAACTAAAGTATCTGTTTCCATGGTAACCAAACATTTATTAACTTGTCTTTCAAATAGAAACGTATGGTGGTTGTTTACTTCATCAAGTGCTTAATTAAGAATAGACCACATTATATTGTGTCAAACCAGAGATCATACAAAACGCACTGACTGACAGAATGTCTTCCTATATACTGATTCACAATTTTTACAACAAGTAATTTTACTGTCTCTATTTTATTCATCTATCGATCATTTATGGTTAACTTGCAGTTGTCGATATCCGAGCGAAATGCGTGTCTCTCAGAGCCTCAGCTGTTTTCTGAACAGAATTTAACATATAAAAACGACTATGGAGGAAAAAGTCAGTGAGTCATCGATCGACGGGCAGCATCCAGGTGATAATTTCCCCTTACATAAAAATGTCAAATGGAAAGATAATGAGGTATAACTCACCTTGACAATTTAAATAATATTTCTATGAAAATATTGAGGGAATTATCTGAGAAACAGAGGTCTTCCTTCTCTGATCGACTACCGAAAAACTCGAATATTTGAAGGGTAGCATCTGAAAAGTAGTTTTCTTCCTGCTCAATTCCAATTGGATACGAGCCTCAAAAACAGAAGATTTGATTCGCCATTAAAGAAAAATACTTCGATAGCCTATATCAACCCAGAATCCTGTGCGCTACGTTACAGTCTTAAAAACCCCTGCTATCTAGTAAGGACCCCCGTTACAGTTTACTCGTGGACAGCCATCCTTGAAAGAGTTTAGTAGAGTGGCTCTCGTTCTCGAGAGAAAGTTACTTGCTTTACCAATGATGAACCGAAGTAACAACAATAGTAGGCGAATTTACGTCGGAAATTTACCATCTAATGTAGATGAAAGAGATCTGGAGGATATCTTTTACAAATACGGCGACATTTCTGACGTTGACTTAAAGATCCCTCGATACGGAACTGGTGGCACGCCGTTTGCCTTTGTCGAATTTAGTGATCCAAGGTGAGAAGATCTTCATTGACTTAAAATTGAAATTTTTTTTATCGGGAATGGTTGTCAACGCTCAAATTCTCACTTCTTATCAATCTATTTTCGACGCAAGGATAGGTTTGAAACGGAAACTTATGCCAACTTTCTCGAACCCTTTCTTTTGTTTCTTTCTCAACTTTCGAATTCTGTTATTCTTCGTTTTTCCTTGATTTTCAACCCTCGCCATTCTGACAAATTTCAAGTCGAGAATATTTAACCTGGCTGTTAATGATGGGTCAGTTGATGCATGTAGTGTAAATGACTGCAGGGCTGCAAATAACGGCCGGTCAACGGACAATGTCCGGTCAAAATTGGGTACTGACCGGACAAATCCTTGGTTTGCCGGACATCTTGTCCTGTCCTTTACCAACTCGTTCAAAGAAATTTTAATTTTTAACTGTTTGATAATCACAAGGGACACAGTCATATTTCCAAAAGGGAAAAAAGCAATGTACAGTAGACAAATTAGTGGTCGAGAAATTCCCGGCAGTCGCAAATTTCCGCGATGTCATCAAGTCCTGTCGTCGCGACCGCAAATCATCGGGTCTTCCGTTATTTTATGTACTTTATTTAAGTGTTCCCAGTTAGTAGAGGGTTTTACCTTTGGCTAGATACCATCATTTACTCTTAAATAAAGTGATTGATTGATTGAATGATCGCAAAGCACCCTCACGAAGAATAATCTTGCTGCCTCGAGAATACTCCAAGTAGCATTTGTTGCAAAGTGCAAAAAGCGAGCAAAAGGCCCAAAACCTGGAGAATCCGACCACTCTTTTACTCTAACAAAAATTCACAACTGTAACTTAAAAAAAAAAAGGACTCTTGAGTGTAATATTTAATTATAAGTGATTTTGCCAGATGTAAAGTAAAACGGACAATTGCCGTTGTATCTTGCGTAATCGTTCCACGTACTCAATGCGAGGCTGCTTATGCAGTAAAGAGTAGTAAAATTATGGACTTGTAATTTTTATTGCCAGACCGACTTGGATTCAGTTGTTTTTTAGTTGTAAAAGGATTACTGTGCAATCTGGGTTCACTATCGCAAGAGTTCTGACTGTTAAAATTTGACCGGCCAAAAATGGGTAGTGTCCAAGCAAAAGCATGTTTGACTGGACAGCGTGTCCGGCAACTGCTCATTAGTTATTTGCAGCCTTGGACTGCAGGTGAAAAGGTACTTGGAAGCGATTTCTGAATAACTCTTTTTATTTCTTTTTAGGTTGTCTGTTTTGATATTTTTGGTAGTGAGTAGCTTAAGAAATTCAAGAAGGTAGAAAATCCATGCCTAAATTTTATTTCTCTACTGTGGTTTTGTACAGAGATGCAGAAGATGCAGTAAGAGGGAGAGACGGATATGAAGTTGATGGTCAGAGGATCCGTGTGGAATTTCCTCGTGGTGGCCGCGGAGGTCGTTCTGGAGGTGGAGGATTTGGAGGTGGGGGAGGAGGAGGAGGCTATGGTGGTGGTGGCGGTGGTGGCGGCGGAGGTGGCCGTGGTCCTCCTCCCCGACGTTCTGATTACCGTGTCATGGTTTCTGGTTTGCCTCCTACTGGTAGCTGGCAAGATCTCAAGGATCATATGCGTGATGCTGGTGATGTTCAGTTCACAGATGTTTTTAAAGATGGAACTGGCATTGTGGAGTTTTCCCGCTATGATGACATGAAATATGCCTTGAAACATCTGGATGATTCTAAGTTCCGCTCCCATGAGGTACACAAGTTCAGTAGTTATAACTGCTAGTCTTATTTCACTTGTTTTGTCTTTTTCAGAGAAAAATATATTTTGTTTTTCTTTCTCTAGGGTGAAGTTGCATTCATTAGAGTCAAACCTGACAATCCAGGACGTGGTTCACGAAGTCGTAGCAGATCCCATTCAAGGAGTCGATCCCCAAGAAAAAGATCCCATTCTCGATCTCGTAGTCCACGTCGGTCTCCAAGGAAATCAAAGTCTCCCTCTAGATCACCAAAGAAGAGAAAATCAGTCTCTCCAAGGCGTTCCAGATCCCGTTCTCGTTCCCGTTCATAGACATAAACTGTTTGCTGTGGCTGTGATGTATTATTTGTGTTGTGTTGTCACCAAGAAAATACAGTCACTTTAAACCGTTAGTTGTAGACTCTTAATAATTCTTTAATGTGTGTTTGACTAGTTAGATCTTTTACTTTTTCATGGTATTATTTTCAGGACAGCACAAGCACTTTCTGATATTGGAAAGGCAAGCTAGGAATGAAACTTGTTTCAACAGTAATGTTGCTAAAGAAATCAAACTGGATAAGGAAACAATGGAAATAAAATGACCCTTGGAACATTAGGACATGTTCTTTGGACATGGTATGCATGGTTTTCAGCTACAGTGATATTTCTACAAGCCTAAATGACCCCTTTTTAAAATGTTTTGCACATAAGTTAGTTTTAAGCAACACCACAAATTTGTTTTCATTTTACTTATAATTCACTGTGTGCAGATTAGTTTTTCTTTATGGCTACTTATGATTAAAGGATAAATAAGTTCATAGATTTGTTCAATTTCCTAAAATTTTAATTGATCAATTACAAGCATTTCTAATTTTTTGTCCATCCTACAGTGAAATGTTTGGGAAATTGAAGGGAAAGAAACTATTTTGCAATCGATTTTCATTGACAAGATGACTTCTTTACAATCTTATGACAGATAAAAAGCTGTCGTACAGAGGAGTCCGGAACCTCTCGTGTCAGTCAGTGATCACGGATCATTAGGATAGGAACTGGAGGTCAGCTCCAGTACAGTTTTGGGACAGAACACCGGAAACAATCAGGAAATCAAACAAACAGGAGTCAGTTTTTTGGAACTCTTTCAATCATCTGGCTAAGGATTTGGATGTTAACTCGTTTGGTAGTTCCAACAATTTTGGAGGAAAATCACAGTTTGGGATGGAGGAATAGCAATCACAATCTTTCATACAAAATGGTCTTGTACAGTATTCTTCTTTGGAGGGTATCCTAAATCTGGTATGAATTTTAAACAGTCAGTTTTTTTGGAAGACCTCAAATTTAGCAGAGTGAAAGTTGATCCCCAAATTTCCTGATTCAAATTTTGATAAAATCACATGTTCAAAATATTTTGCACATAAGGGTGAAGTTTTTCAATTAGGTTTTTCTCTTTCTCCTCAACCTTTCTTTCCTAGTCATCCTGCTTGTTTGATTTTTTACTACTAACTTTTGTGCTTCAGTTGCTGGGTATGCCATGCATATGTCTCTATCGTAGGAATACAAGGGATTTTAGCTGACACAACAAAAGTGCTTTTGCATGTATCATTTAGTTATCCATGCATAGTGACAACACACTTTGCTCTTCACTTAAATAAAGTTCTTTTAGTCCAAGAAAGTGGTTGATTGTGTGTAATCTTACTGCAAGTGTTATTACTGGACTAAGAAACCTTATTTTTATTGCTTTCGCTTAGTGTATTGATGAGGTAAAATTAGCCATCCACCAGGTTGCTTCTTAAATTCTCCAGGAAAACAGAGTAGTGTAAAGACAATTGAATAAAGGGGTAAGTTTCTAAAGGAACTGTGGTGCAGCATTGGTGGGAGTAACAAGATAATTTTGGTTTTATCAACTGAGTTGACAAAGGAAAGTGGCCACTGTTAAGAGTTTCAAAGCTGATGTTTTGAAGGAAGGGCTAACACTCAAAAGGTCAGCTTAGAAACTCTTAAGGGTGGCCAATTAGCTTGATAAAACCAAATTTATAATGTTAGGACAAAGTACTTGACTTAGAGTTAGCCAAGGCAAAGTTGGCCTGAACTGTTAAAGCCAAGTAGCAATTTTACCCTTCGAAAACAACATGAAACTTTTTGTTTATAAAATGCCAATATCTGTCCTGGTTCATCTGCTTTTCTTGGTACTATGAGAAGTATGTAAATAAATTTGTTAGACATAATAAAAACTGGTGATCCTGATACAGTCTCGAGCCAAAGACCATTTTGTTACCTTGTACCAAAGAAAGTTAAGTTAAATGCTCTATTACCCAGTTGCCTTAGGTAAGGATAGGCTCCAATAGCAATGATAAGATTGTGGAATTTCATCTTATGATCCAAGTGAACGAGAAATAAGCTGTGAAATCTCCAGAAGTCAAATTCACATCCCTTGTTCTCTGCAACAACTTACAACTCTCTTGTGTGCACCTCCTTAAGTAATAGTGGTTACCTTTGGTGTTACCACAAATCTAAATTGGTTTTGATCGTCCTTGAGAAGACCCTGATCGAGTAAATATGTCGCCATGCAGACATCTGAGAGCAGAACAGCAAGCATTCTGTGAGAGAAGAATTATGTCTGGGCATATTGGGGGGAAAATTACAGCAAAAGACAAGACTGAGGAATCGTCAGATTCTCCACGACAGGAATGTCCAGACCAATCAAAAGCTTTCTCTATGCATGCAGGACTCTTTCCCCGCCCACACCCCCACTGCTTTTCTGATAACTTCAGGGGACCCATCTGCCTAGTCATGTAGCTGATAGTGATCGTCGAAAGACTGCTTTCCATGTGACCAAAACTTTCGAGATTTCCGGTCTGAAATTGAATGGAACGGAAAAAGTCCCGGGATGAGTTTTCGAAAATTTAGGAAAACGTTGTAAGTGTGTCCTCTTGGATATGGTCCGACTCGTTCCATTCGACCAGCGAAAATTCCGATATTTTGAACCGGTGATTTTTGTTGAATGGAAAGCGCCTGGGACTCGTGTTATTGGTGGTCATCAGTAACAGATGAGGACTGATTTAAGATGGAGGTCGTCGGCGGTGCCTGTGACAGACTGTATGAAAGCAGCTTCCTGCTGTTGGCAGATGAACTAATTGACATGGTGCTATCCTGCCCTGTAATTGATCATAAAGACTTGTGTTGCTGCGCGCAAGTTTGTACAAGGTTGAATATTATTGCATCTGGAAATGAACTGTGGAAAAGGAAAGCCCTCTCGAGGTAATGTGTACGTATAATTGAAACAAAAGTATGGAACTGACTCTGTCTAGAAAACTGCGTGATGTTGTTATATTTCAACCTAGAAAGGTCCCAGACTAAGTTAAAAGTCATTTCGTCGAATTTTAAATATGTATTCTGTCGCTCGTCCCAGCTACTTTATTTTTTACGTATGAAGAAATATTCCATGGCCCTTTTCAAAGTTTATTTTCAGTCTGCCGACTTAAGCTGTCCTGGAACTCAGGTAGGTCCAAATTACACGCTTGACGATATGCCGTGGGTGCATACGACTCAAAGTACCGTTAGGGGACGAAAGTGATATATACTCTCTCTATTTCTGCTTATTCTAGTTTTAGAGTCTAGGACTGCCTTGAAGGAAAGGAAAAAGTTCTACCCTGTGGGGCTAACCCTTAGCCTCATTAAGTTTCATTACTTAGTATCTAGCTGACTCGGTGATTGAGTCCAGAATCAGCTGCTGGGATATGGGAAATCAGCCAGCACTCCTCTTTATTGGGAGGATCAAAGACCAGACTCAAAAAAATGTCCAGAAATCTAGCCTAGCTCCATGAGTGGACAAGGTGAAGTGACTTTTGTGTCTGGATTGGTTACTTGGTTGGTTAAGAAGGGTCCCATTGCTTCATTTAGATATTTTTTAATAGTTTTCTAAAATAATATATATATATATATATATATATATATATATTATAAATGTATTCTGTCGCTCGTCCCAGCTACTTTATTTTTTACGTATGAAGAAATATTCCATGGCCCTTTTCAAAGTTTATTTTCAGTCTGCCAACTTAAGCTGTCCTGGAACTCAGGTAGGTCCAAATTACGGTCCAAACCCTCAAGGTTTTACCAACTCTAATAAACGTAGATGTAGATATATTGACTTAAAAAAACACATGACAAGTGATTTAGGATATTTCTTTCTTACAGATGGGCATTTTGGAAAAGCATGCCCAAAGAAAACTGGTGTACGGTTTACAGAGACAGGCTGTTGACTGAACTTAAAATCTTCTCTGCTTTAGAGAGTATGTCAAAGAAATATTACAACAACCCTGAGGTTCACAGGAGAGAGTTTGACACATTTGTTTATTTAGGAAATGAAAATCCTGCTATGTCATGTCATGTGAACAATACTCTGAGTGAACTTTTACAGGGAAATGATTGGTAAGAGACATAGTTATCTCTGTGATGTGACAGCTTTAATTAACTTGTAATTATTTATTATCCAAGTTATTCTATTGTTGGTAGGAGTATAAATTTACAATATAGCCATTGTTAAGAAATTCTAAACAACTTAACTGTCGCTGCCATCAAATGTATTCAAGCTCTGTTCAAATGAAACCTTGTGGTTTCAGTGACGATATAATTTATAAGTAAATAGAAAGTGAAAGATAATAAATGTTAGCTCAGAAATGAAGTGGAGAAAGATATGTTTAAGTCTTGTCACAGGTGTGAACCTCAGTGGCAGTGGGGGGGACCTATCTTTCACTCACCCATTCACATACCCCTACTCAACTTTTGCTTTTTTCACTTGCACAAGCAAACCCCTTTTCAATCTTTACAGTTTCAAGTGTGTCTGTAGTCAATTTGTGACTTACTTCGCTTTGCTTTTAAATTAAATCATGTCTAATTCCCTACACAAGCTGTCTAATTTAATCAAGAACTGATACAGTTGGTAAGCTTTTCAAACCGATGCTGGAGCTGTTAAAAAAAAGTGTGATGCTGATTGATGAAAGGATTTTTGAAAAGACCATGAGGTTTACTATTTTGCCAGTTTATATGCTGCACTTTCTAGCATTATTTTTGGTACAGAAAGGTAGGGGAGCTATACCCCCCAAATTTGTGTTTGAATGCACTGTGGCCCCCCTTTCCCCCCCTTGCTCTGCCTTCTATGAAACTAAGAATAGAATAAAAGTCCCCACAAGGAATCAAACCTAAGATCATCGCATTCTGTGCTCCAACTCTCTACCACTGAGCCACACGGACTCTGTAGTGACCAAGGCCATTTTTAGGTTCATTTGTGACCTGTCCTTCATACCACTTGGATTAGCAATGTTGAAAACATCATGTAGACCTGTGGCTACTTGCTTGATGCATTCTATATTTCCCTGGAAGCTGGTCTGTACTACTCCATAAATGTTTCAAAGTAATTGAAAAGTTTGTTTGTCACTTTTAGAAAAAATATGTTCATAACTACATTTACTTAGCTTAAATATAGTAGACATCTCTTTAGCAGCATTTACAGAAAGAGACTGATGTTTTGCAGCTGATTTTGCTTTGTAGTGAAGTCAATCTGACACACAGACATTATGCCAGGAAAGTACAATCCCAGCTGAAAATTTGCTCCATTAAGGATGAGTGGAAGAAATTTCTGGCATTACCAGAAGAGCACCAATATCTTGAGAAAGGTAGAGAACCATTTTTTAATGCAGTGAACATTTTTTGTTAATGTTCAGTCATTAATCAATTGAAAATAATTATTATAATTATTTTTTTTACATGAAGTAAGGTTGTTGGTTAATAATGGTGCGGCTTTGACCAAGACATGTGCCTTTCACTGTGTCTTCTCTGACCATGGATAAACCCTTTCACTTGCAAGATCCCATTAGTAATTCTCCCTATGGTCTGCCATGCAATTGTTATTATGTAAGTCTAGAGAATTTGGTATTTGTGCAACCAATAATCTCCTAATTGAAATTTTTCTTCAGGCTCATCATATTTCTTCATAATAATTATTGTATTGATATTGTAAAGAAAATATCTTTCTTGATTACTCATGGGATGTCAAAGGTCAAGTAAAAGGACCTGCAAGTTTTCAAAGCTGCCACTTGAGTTGAAGTGAGTTGAATTGTTGCCTCATGCTGTAGAATTTGGGATGAACTGTAGCAGCTGCAGTAACACCCTCAGTAAACTTTCCTGTGCTTTTCTTTCAACCGTCACTTAAAATTTTCTGGTTACAGGGGCCATGTTGGTTGTAAGGTGGATTCTCAATGAAGAGGATATTAATGAGACTGAGACTTTCTCAGAACTAGATAGAATTGCACAGATGGTACAGGAGAATCTGTGTGGCTCCAACAGCAGTAAAAACACAGCACCTTTAATCCCACTGGAAGAACGAATGGCACAGAGTAGTGAAGAGCTTTCCTCAGTTACACATCCTACAGCCTGTTTGAGAATCTTGGCTTGTCTGAAGCAAGTTTTGTATCATCAGCTGCAGTATAAAGGCAATGTGAATGAATATTATAAAAAGGAGAACTCAATGCTCTTTCAGGTATAGTTGTCAAACTAGGCAGAATAAAGCCAACTTCCATTTGGTGGTAAACTGCCATGGAATCACTTCTCTTAATTCTTTAAATCCCAGAAGTGATCAACATGTAATTTCTCCTGATAATATCCATGCATGATCCAGCAAACAGGTAATAAGAAAACTTTAACTTAATTTTACTTCTTAATTTTACTTATCAAGTAAAATTTGTCATCTTGATCTAACACCAAATTCTTGTAACTAATTGACAAGGAAATTTGTAACAGCCAGAGGGGAGAAATAAGAATCATATCGTGGGATTTAAGAAGTCAATAGGCAGGTACTTCAAGATAACGCAAGGCCATTGTGGAGCTGGATAATTTTCATGGCCTATGTACTTTATTTATTGTCTCTTTTACATAGGAATTCAGTTTCCCCCTATTGCTTTCCTTTACCCTCTGTACCTATTTATTGTTTATTATTCTTGTACAGTGGTAGAAAGCATTATTAAACTTAAACTCTTTGGCATTGAATTTTGAAGGTTGTTAAAAATAGGACTGGAAATCCCATCACTCTGTCAGTTTTGTTCACTGCTATTGCAAGGAGACTTAGGATTACTTTAGAACCAGTGAGTATATAGAGTTTCTCTTTTTTGAGGTTGCAATATAGGCAGGATAGCTAGTAGAGTACTTCATGGTACATTTTGGAGCACAACACCCAAGAACTAGTGTTCATCTTTAAGCAGTAATTACCTGCCAGGTCTCTCCCTTTCTTTAAACTTAAAAGATTGGAAATTGAACAATAGTGTGGTTAAAAGCTTGAGACATACATTTATTTTTTAGTGACATTCATTTCTTTTTATGGTATGGTATTTTACTCATGTTAGATTTTAAATTATCATAAACCTCCTATTCCAGATAAATTTTCCAAGTCATTTTTTGCTGCGGTGGAGATCTAACATGGACCCAAAGTATGTTTGAAACAAGTTTTTGATTGATTTATTTTGTTACAATTAGAGCATACTAAGCATAAAGTTTTTTTCCTTGTTAAAATATTTGTATTTAGGGCTTGACTGAGCCCTTCAACTCCCATACATTATCCAACACACAGGTAATGAGAATACTCAAATATATCAGGTAGAATTTGTTATCTTGACCTAACATAAAATTCTGGCGATAAATTTGTGAGGAAATGTGTAGCAGTTACAGGGAAGAGTTAACGATCAGATCCTGGGAGTTAAAGTGTTTAAGTTTGAGTTTTTAGTTACAGATTAGATGCATTTCATTATTCTAAAAACATATGTGAATAACCTAACTTTCCTAGGCAGCTGTTTAATTCCAACTTGACTTACACCAACAGATAAATACTTTTATTGTTACAGCGATATCTCCCTTACCATGTAAGCTGAAGTACTGTAACTTCTGTTTTGGATGAGAGAGTTTGTTTGCCTTTTGTTTTTCAGAGCAGATCATTCTACAGCATATAAGTACATTGACTGCTTCAATGGTGGCAATTTCTTATCTGAAGATCAGTGTGTGGATATGCTTTTGTCACCATTGGCAAATATACGTAGTTTTGGTAATGCACTGTTCGTTAGGGCTTCGCCTACACAGGTGCTTTTGATGTAAATTTGTAGTTATTTTAACTTGATACACTATTAAGTTGATATATGAAAGCATAAAGTTCAGAAAGCAAATACATTTTCAATTCTTCAGTCCTAGCAATCTTGTTATTCAACAATTTTTTAACTCTCTAGGCAAGTTTTGATAAAACCCAATAGTACTTTACATAACATCTGACACAATTACCAAGTTTGCTTTACATGTGTTTGTGTCATGTCTTCAGGTATTTATTCGCATGGTGGCCAATATCATAAATAGCTACAGAATGGAAGAACATCCAGGTGGTCGGTAAGAAACATGTCAATTAGTGTTTTCCTTTATTTTAAGGGAAAAAGGTTAAAAGAAATTTCCAAACTTGTAATCTAAGAGCATTCCTTGTCGCGTTCTCAGTGTCGTAGACGCATGGCATTAGGCACTGGAGTTCACCAGGTCAACCACAGTGAAGCACTAGGCGGTCAGCAAGATTCGATGTTTATTAAAATTAGGCTAATCTGACTATTTACAGCACTTGCGGTGAAAACTAGAAAGAAACATTCAATTTTTACGTCAGAAGGAATGAAAACTACACTTATGCTCCGTGCACAAAGAGGAGAAACGAACTACAAAAATTACAAGTGAGACTTACGTCTGATCTCGACTCTGGGGTTTAGAAGAACTCCAAACTCCTACAGTTGTAGTAACTCTGAAAGTACTCCGAAAGATCCTTACAGTGTGATGGACTCCTAACAAATGAGTAAACCTGCTTAAGAAAAGACTAAGCTAGTGCATGCTTTCTGACGTGATGGAAATGAGCTGAATGAAGCTTTGTTCACCTAGCCAAAAAACAGATATATGATAAGCATACAGTTAAATAAACAATACTGTGTTCACAAAGAAAAAATAATCGTTGAACGTAACTAATTAAAAACTTTATTTGGAGATGACGTGACAATTTTAGACACTCGTATCTGATTTTGGACAAAACTTCCAATTTTGGACGTGAATGCCCTATTTTGGACACTTGGGTCCAATTCAAGAGACTAGTGTCCAATTTTACACACAAGTGTCTGAATTCGGAAACTGATGTCCTATTTGTTTGTGTTCCCCTAGGTCATTTTCTGTATACTGGTTTTTGTACTCTGAATAATTCAAATCATGGTTATAAATTCTAGGCAAGTCAAATCAAATATCACTCAAGTCCAAAAATCTAGTTGGTCTTGAAGTATCTTTGTATTCCATATGATTCTTTGCTTAGAACCCATCCAACTTTTGCTCATTCTGCAACTTGCACAGAAACAGATCAATTTTTCAAATGATCAACTCCTAATCTAGAATTGTGTGTTTGACCTGGCATGACTGCAAGCTCTTCATCATGTTAAACATGCCACAAGAGGACAACAATCCAGAACTGTAGTTGAGTTCATTGCACCACTGATTACTTTGCTCTAATTTCATTGTCAGATTAAGTGGTCTGCATTCTGCTCTTGACCTGGCATTGTTTCTTGATCCTAATGATGAAGACAGCAGACTGCTGTTGGCCAGAATACAGGTTCATTTGGGAATTGACTTGGAAGAGGTATGTTTTATTTCACAATTTCCTTTTTTTTATAAATACTTTAAGAAGACTTCAAATAACTTCTGGTAGGGACTCAAAAAAATATTTGCTTATCATCTAATGGATATTTAGGTATAATTATGGTATTAAAGTTTTTTTTGAAGTGGTCTTTGGCTAAAAATTAAGAAACCTTAGCAACTTACAAGTTAATGGCCCAAGACAAACCACAAAGTTGTTATTTTTCTGTGTAATGAAACTGCTATAGATAATTCTGAATTCTTAAAAGGTAAGCAATTCTAGGATAAAAAGAATGTATGTGTGGTGTTATCTAAATGCATAATTCAATTTCAGGCAATTTACAGTCTTCAGATCCTGCAGAGCAGTGCAAACCAAGTGCGCAAGGGAATACTGGATAATCTCCTTGAACGAGCCAATCAGAAAAAGAGAATGCAGGATTTGGGAGAAAATCTTCCCCCTCCAGTATGTTAAGAGATGTTAATTTACTGCAGTAGATAATCATCGTTGCTTTTTATCCAAATCTTTTATATGAGAGGTGGAGAAGTTACCTGATGGCTTCCACAACAGGGTAGTTATTGATCTGTAGGACACAGAAGGCGGAATGTTGAAGTTACTGTGATTTTACAACACAAGCTGAACAGAGAAAATTATTTCTCTGGGATTCAAAGGGTGATGAGTTATTTAGAATGCTAAAATCACTGAGACCCTTGAGACAGTTAGAAAGTGAAGGAACATTATTTGACTAAAGATTTTCAGTTAGCTTCCACTTAAACTAAACATCTTAGGAATTTGGGTAGTTCTTTTTTTCGGCAAAATTATGGACTTTCCTGGAGATTTTCTCTCTTCTAACTTTATGAATCATATAAATTGTTAAAGGGCTGAGACTGTAGCCTCTTACATGGAATATTCTGTTGTTTCATTTTTCATAGAAACTAAGATCTGATCCAAGAAATTCTCATGTTGGATTTAAAGTTGGAATGGTGATGAGGCACAAGCTGTAAGTTATGACTCAAAACAGCTCATGCTCATGAGTGGTTATCCAACACCTCTTAGACTTGTAACATGGGTCACTCTCATGGTATAAGGACATAACATGGTGAGGCAAACTTGTTTTTCCCTGGCAAGGGCAGGTGCAAACATTTTATAAGAAGGAATAAAAAAAGTGTGGCAAGAGCCCCATTTTCTACCTACCTTCTCCAAGGAACATCCAAATGAAAGATGCCAGATCACTAAAAAAACAGGGGGGAAGAGATGGGGGGGAGGGGGCTGCAGCCTCTTTAACATTCCCAAATGTGTCTATGCAAGCTATAACTTCTTGTCATTCTCTGAATTATCCTTAGGTACCATTACGGTTGTGTTATTTATGGATGGGATCCTGTTTGTGAAATGGATGAGTCCTGGATTCAGCGAATGGGGGTTGATCAATCACCTGGTGGCCGTAATCAGCCTTTTTACAATGTGCTGGGTGATGATGGCTCACAAAGATATGCAGCTCACAGTAAGCTGAGTTTCTGGTTAATCAACAAAAAAAAACTAAATTGTAGTTTCAAATAGAAAAACAGAGTTGGTCATTAGGAATTAACAAGAAAAGTTAGAAGAGTTTAATTGATCTTTGCCTGAGGATTTGGTAAACAGGTCTTTTTTGGTTGAGTATGTGCCCTATGGCTTAGAATTTAAACTGCATTTTAGAATTAATTTGCATGCAAAATGTTTCCCTCTTTTAGAAACCCTCTCTAGAAATTTAGTTGCTTCTGATATTGTGAAGCTTTGTTCTTTTGAAATATTTCACCCAGGTTTTAGAAGTAATATTTCAAAAACTCGTGCTTCGTGTTTCATCGGGGTTTCCAAACACGAGAAAACTGATGAAAGCACTCCACCTACGGCCTCGTGCTTTTATTGTTTTTGAGTGTTTGAAAACCCAGATGAAACATGAAGCATGAATTTTTGAAATTGCTTCTCAATCATGCATCATTAGCGGAGAATAATGAAAAAATTCTGACTGATTTTGGCATCAGTGGGGTTTGACATTTTATCAACCTCTAGGGTTTGATATTTCATCAAAGTATAGTGGAAAAGCCCCTGTCCAGTGTTTCATCGGTGTTTCTAAAGGCACACATGTGGCCAAATTGGCCTATTGTGATTGGTTTGTAACTTGATGAAATATTAATGAGTTTGAGAAACATCTTTAAAAAATCACACACCTTTATGGCTTCCCGTCCATTCTCCAGACTTAGGCCAAATAAGTCTTTCTATAAATTCTGATGAAGTCTTCAACTAATGAAAATTTAGTTTCTTTGATACTGTCCTTCTCCATGCAGACCATACTTGGATTGTTAATTACTTCAATTTCCTTGCAGTTAATCTGGAAGAAGATCCTAATCAGCCTTTAAACCCCCATCCTGAACTTGGGAAATATTTCAAAGGGTTCACTGGAACCAGGTACATTCCAAATGAATCTCTTCAATGCCAGTACCCTGAGGATGTTGACAATTGATCAAAACTTGGCCATCCATTTAAAAAAAACATATATTTTCAATAAAAGATTGTTTTACTTTAAGAGAAATCTGTAGGAAATCAGATCTTTGTAGTTTAAGTCTGGTATTAAAACTCAACTTTTTCTCCAGAATAAGTCCACAGAAGTAGCTTGAGGTAATGTTCTGGTTTGTAAAATTTCCTCAAATCAAAGTAGAGGACTCAGTAGTTATGAAGCTTGGCTAATGCAACATTTAATTGAACTGTAACTGAAGGTTGCAATAGAACTACTGTATCATGGGTGTGTAATACTTTTGATTGATTGACCCACGGAATAAAAGTGCTGTGGACTAGAATGTTATATTAAGTAAAGCCTATTTATTTCATAAGTTTTGGCATAGAGAAACTTTAACAGCCTGCTTTACTAAAAGTATGACAGTAATGCCTGAAGGAATTATTTAGTGTTAAGAGAGATCCTTTGGGCATTAAGCCTTTTTACTTGTAGAAATGATAAATCAAGAAGACAGCAGAGAAGATAAGAATATGAACTATGATGTCAGAACTGACATTTTAAGAAATGTATGGCAGAGAGTAAGGAGATTGGTGGAGAAAGGGTTATTTACTATTTTAATACTTGTTGCTCTTTGTCTGGTTGAATCAAATACATATTTTAATGCTTATCTTAAGAACAGAATTCTAGCCATTTGGACTGTTCATACATACAGATATAGGTTAGTTAACCACTCCCCATGGGGCTTTTTCAGGGCCATTCTTACAACTCTGTGTGGGGGACTTCACCAGACTGCTTGTGGCAGTTTACAATGAATAAAGGCAAATCTAACAGATGCCCCCAATTTCCAGTAAATAGGCCAGACCACAAATTTGGGAGCTACATTCGCTACTCTTTGCGATAAGCGTGTGGGTTCTTTAACCTCCCCTGCTAACCAGTACAGAGAAGATGCAGGAGACAGGGCCTACAGTTTTTTGTCCTTCTCCGGGAAGACTAGAATGTCTAACCATTTGCAGATATCATAGCAAAGGTAGCACAGTCTCCTCAGTTATTTTAAGACCCCCGAGTGTTGGTCTGGCCGGGGCTCAAACCCTCAACCTCCCGCACAACAGTCCAGTGCTCTAACCAATTGAGCTAACTGGGAGGTGGTCCTTATTTCGTAATCTTGAAATGAATATACTAGAACAAAAGTAAGGAATACACAATCAAAATGATCATTTTGTATTGGAAATACTTTACACCTGGCTGTAGGGTGTGTTATGTAAGATGCATTACTGTCTTTAACACTATTGTTGTCTTTGAGTAAGGAGTTCCTTGACTTCCTATGCAATAGGTGATGACCATTTCCTTAAAATTGGACAAGGTTGCTACAGACAACTTTTTCAACCATATTTTGATCATAATGTTTAATCCATTAATAGCCGCAGATTTTGTTAAAAACTGTGTTTTGAAGCTAGTCGAGCAGATTTCGGGTCACTGTTGTGGTTTTAAAAGCTCAAACTCACCACAAACCGATTGACAGCTTGTTCACTCGAAGGCCTTTCGATCCAAATGCAAAATGGCGGCCTGAAAATCTTGGGCATGCGCAGAAAGCAAAATTTGGAGATAGTTTTTGGTTTGAAAAGTAATGCCCCACTTACGACTTTTACTTTTCTGTCTTTCTCCTGCCCTTTTTTCCCCTCTCCTTGCCTGAAGTTTCTCCTCACTTGCGGAAATATAGTAGGCTTCATTTTGGTGTAGAGATTTTTTTGGAAACAACTCATATTTTTAAACCACATGCTCAGAAAGGTAGGTGGGTAATGGAACAAGATTTTCGTACAGATTTTCAGGTCAAAGTTACATGATTTTTTGGCTATTTCTCCAATCTCCTTCACTCAATTGTGCTCATTCTGGTGTCGTTTGTAAGATATTTTCAACCTGTTCAACTACGTGCTCAAAGTCGTGCTCCAGGTTAAAAGTGACGACGTCACAAGGCATAGAAACGGTGTGGGTCCACATGGGCACATACGGGTGCACTGGAGGTCAATAGGTTAAAGAAAATCATCACTCCGCACCATGAAAATATTTATAAGAGATCTTGTAAACTACAAAATATTCATTTGGTTTTAAATAAATTTACAAGTAGAGAGAAATGGAGAAAGAGAACAAACTTATTGCTTATTTGAATGAGAATTGCTTTGTACAAGCTATGTTTGTCATATGTATTGTTTGTCATGTTGGAAGTTTCACTATCAACTAACAATTTAACAACCTTGTCTCCAACACACTTTTCCCTTCAGCTGATTGTGAGAAATCTTCTACCCTTAATGAATAGGCCAACCTTGCTCCTCTTCCCTTAAAATGTACTTTTTTATTGTACACTTTTTGTTATCAGGTCTGCCTTGGACCAAAAATGTGTGCAACTAATTCTTTTTTATCATATCTGGAGAAGCTCGCTGTCCCCACTCAACCCATGACCCATCGTACACCATAATGTCACTCTTTCCACATAGATGTGCTCCCAAAGCTATGATACAAGCTGTGATTCCTGACCCACAGGTTGTAACAAGTGGATTTTGAAGATCAATTCCTGCTTCATCAAATACATTTTTCAGCTCCTGGGGGTCTTTCATTAGTTTTGTTTCAGGGTTTAAAAATTTGGCAAAATGGAGACTTTTTGAATGCGGAATGTGACCAGATGGAAAGTTTGGACGTGGCTCTGTTTCAGTTCCAAAGAACCTGCCAGGAGATCTTGCATCAGCAATTTGTATGTTTGGGTCTGATAACTTGGCTTTCACAAAATCAAAGTCACAGAACATGCCTGGAGTTAAGGAAGCTTTAAAAGGTCCACCTTCTGCTGAAAAAAAAATTGACATTATTCATAAGTATGGTTAACCAATTTTTTAGGGCGGATAATACCCTTCCTGGAAGATGAAAGGAGAATTTGGATACGAGTTAACAACTGAATAATTTACCTATAACTTCCGCTGCCTCCTCTGGACCCGATGAAATAGGATAGCCAGGCTCAGCCTGCCACTTAAAAAATCCACCATCCAAAATCGATACCCGATCGTGCCCAAATGCACGGAACATCCACCAAACTCGGGGAGCCGAGAATAACCCAACTTTACTGTGATCATATACAACAACATGGCTATCGTTGTTAATTCCTAAACTTCGAACGTACTTTGAGAAATCTTCAGTTTTCGGTAACATGTGCTCATAAGGCGATGACTTGTCGACACAATCATCGATGTCGAAAAACTTAGCCCCTGGAATCCGTTGAGCTAAAAATTCTTCTTTCGGATTACGATTTTCCGATGGGAGATGCCACGAAGCGTCCAGCAGCCGCAGATATTTTGTGTTTTTAAGCATCAATTGACGAAGCCCCTGGGCTTTAATGAGGGTCTGCACAGACATGGCAAAGAAGAGGTAAGCAAGTACCACAGATAATGCAAAGTCGATTCAAGGCGTTCGATGTTCTCTGTCCAAAAGCCCAGAGTAGTGGAAGAAAGTCTGGTGACTAGTCCCCAGACTCTACGCTAAACGACGTGTCAAAATGGCTGCCTTGGAGAAAGTAAAGATTTTAGTAGTTGGCGATTCCGGAGTGGGAAAAACGTCTTTGGTTCACCATATATGCCACGATGAATGCCTTTCGACCCCAGGTTGGACAATAGGATGTACTGCAGAGGTAAAACTGTATGACTACAAAGAAGGAACGCCCGCAACGAAAAGTTTTTTCTTGGAGTTCTGGGATGTTGGAGGCTCCGCAAACCATGAAAACAGCCGGTCGCTATTTTATAATGGAGTCAATGGATTAATTCTTGTTCATGATTTGACCAACAAGAAGTCATTTACAAATCTTAGGCGTTGGCTTGCAGAAGTGTTGGGGTCTGGGAAGGAAGGGAATAGTTCCTTTAGTGCCAAGCAGCCACTTAAACAACCTTCAAACAGAGACAGTTGGTTTGAGTTCTCAATTGACATTGGAGAAGGTTATGACTCAGAGCAATTTGCTGGAAACCAAATTCCAGTCATAATTGTGGGTACTAAACTTGATCAGGCAGGAACTGCAAGAATTCTTACCTCATCTAGAGGATTAAATCTTGCAGAGGAAATTGGAGCTGACATGATAAATCTGAACTGTACTGATATGAGACAACTTAAACCTGGATCTCTCAATGCCAAGAAGTTGAACGCTTTCTTTGATAAAGTAATTGAGAGGCGATTCTATTCCCGTGAACTGCCACAAGTCCAGCAGTCAATTGGTCTTGCAGAATCACCTAAATTTTATGATCGTTCAAGTAAACGTAAAATGGTTTGAACACTTTTTCAGGAAGAAAACTGCAGTGATTAGATTACATTTAATGGTACCTGGCTCAGGTAGAAGTTTCTTTCAACAAACACAAAATTATATCTAGTCTCATCTTTTGTCCTTGCTATGTCAAATATCTTTAGCCCCTAAGCTGTCTGCTTATCAAGGGCCATTGAATTTAATCTCTGTATCACAAATTATGTTTTGAAAACTCAAATAGATATATAACCTAGAATCGGATTGGAATGAACTTCTTTCACTTCGTCAATTAGAAATTTCTGTGGTTTTCCTAACCTTCTGATTGTGTAAAAAGGTTGATAAGTTGATATTTATGAGGATTCTGGGAAATAAATTGACTTAAATTGACTACATGCCAATGGTTCAACAATGACAGAGGGTTAATTCCTTTTGCTGGCTTTGCCATCTTATATTATGAACAACCTAAGATCCTTTGATCCCATGGAAATACTAACCCAATGACTATTAAATGGTACGTTCCTGTTTCAAAGTGACGCTTTATACATATGCATTTATATATGACTAGATGAACGAATCATTCTTCATCATCTGTTCCTTTTCGTTCACGCAATCCCTTGCGACCCTTGATCTTTCTTTTAGTAAAGGATGCTTCTTGTTTTTCTCCTGTTGCAGAATCGGAGACCTGTTTTGTTTTCTCTAAGGAATAGTCAGAAACTTCCTGGTTTTGCAGGTGATCAAGTTCAACCGAATTCCCAGCAGACCGAAATCCTTTTTCAGCTGAAGACAGCTGTGTTTTGGGAGCTTTAGCCCGAGATCGTCCAACTACATATTCCGCCATAATGTTCACACCCTCCACACTTTGTGAGCGGGAAGGTATTTCATCGATTTCCATTTTATGCTTGATGGCTGTTTTCGAAAACACATGTTTCTCAGTCATCTCTACATAGGATTCTGAATTTTCTTTGGGAGCATCTTCTTTCCTTTTGCGTATCTCGTCCATAAAGGAGAGAGCAGCCTGTCTATTTAATGCATCGCCAGAAATTCCTTGAATCCTTTCACTTCCATCTTCCTCCAGACTATACTTCGTCCATTTTTGAGGGTGTAAAATATGGTCTGGTACTCGCCTTGGCGGACGAGCGCCTTGAGGTTTGCACTCGGGTTCACCATCATCAGCCTTTTGTTGAGGTTCAAGCTTGTCTAGACATCCAAAGATAGAATTGCTACGACCCTGGAAATCACTATCTCCAGATATTCGGAGAAAATCATCCTTTTTCTCTGTCATAATACTATCCTCAAGTTCGTCGATCGACGTCTTTTCCGCCATAATGGATCCCAGATCTCCTCGATTTGGCTCGCTTGGAAACAACAGCCTCATTCTTGAGTGTTTACATGGCAACCAAAATGGCGGACAGAATTTAAAAATAGTTATAACATGACTGAAAGCGTTCCCTCCTTTAACGTTACTGCAGCGTTTCACTCGCAGCTCAACACTTTATGTATCCGAGAATTTCCTTGTGGCTATGGCAGCTGGGTAAGCTGGAAATTAAACTTGTACTGTGCTTAAAAATAACACGGTACTCTTTTTCTGAGTAGATAATCTACATTTGTACATTTGTGGAACAGTGTTTGCGTGAAGATAGGTCAAGATATGGGAAAGAGTACCATATAACCCCATACATTAAATAACCCTATACATTGATTATGCATTCCACTTCTTTGTCTTTCACGACAAAACTTTAAAAACAAAGTCTACTAGTCTGAATGCATAATTATGTATGGGCCGGGTTATATGGTACTCTTGCCCAAGATATGATCTGATACTAAAAATATTTGTTTCATTTTGAAATAAGAGAGCGCCCAATGTCAGCAGTAACGTAAGTTTGAAGAGTACTGGTATACTGAAGGGTACGAGGTCATCTGCAACAGTACCAGCCATGTTAGCAGGTAATTAGTTAGGACTAGGACTAAAGTACATGCAAATGGTTTTGCAAACTTGGTAAGGAGTTTGGGGCCAAGAAATCAGCAAAAGTCCCCCTGCCCCAAATCTTTACCATTACTCGCATAATTTATAAATGATTTACTTTTATCGTAGATATTGAGATTTTCTTATTTTCAGTGTATTATGAATTGTCCCCATTCAGTAATTAATTATCACTACTTTTTCAGTACACTTTCATTCAGAATAAAAGGACAGAAGTCTTACCAAACGTCTGTTTCAAAAATAACAACAGTCAGAGGCAACCAATTTCTCTAAAACTCAAGTCTTACCATAATTTCTCTCTTCTTCTGTTCCTCAACAGAAAACAGTGCTGAGTTAGAGACGGTTGAAAATCTTCAAGAGCTGGCTGTGAAGAGTCCTTATGATGTGGACTGTACTTGGAGCAGTGAGGCTGAGAGCTTGCGTGAAATTGCTGTTAAGACACCAGATAAACTTACAGAAGCCTTTATTCTTAAATTTTTTAAGTCCCTTAGAATTGTTGATAAGAAGGTGAGGTTTAAATCATGTCTTACTGTTTAAATTACCAGTACTTGACAACATAATAATGAAAATGAAATTACCAAAAAAAATCTTATTTTTGAAATACCAGTATAGTTACCTCCTATTTCCTACTGATAGTTCCGCCGCCATTTGGGTTTGTCGGACACGAAGTGATGTTACACTTCATTGCCTTTTACACTTAATAGACGTTTAACAATAAGCCTAATATTCCCATTTCTTTCACGTGAAATAATTAAACGGCAAGCAAGTCTTTATTTTTGCTACTATTTCATTAAATATATTGCATCATCTGCAACAGTACCTTCATTCATTCTCTGTGTATTAAATTCATGATGTTGAATTCGTAAAACAAAGATTGGTCAGCAAAAAGGGCAATGGCTCGCACTGATAAGTTCTTTATATAGCCTCATCTATGATATAATATAATAGTTATTTATTTGCTTCAAGAAAAGACTTAACAAGTAAACAAACAGACTTAGGTGAAAATACTTTCGGACGAAAAGACTTGGACAAAAAGACTCTTGGACAAAAAGACTCTTGGACAAAAAGACTGGACACTGATGATTTATTGTTATTGAATGATCCAATCCAATCTATTGCTAAGAAGAGCTCTTTTTAAGTGAGAGTGAATTAAGTCCAACATGAATTTGTAACGGTGTCTCATTTGTGTTTGTTTGTTTGTTGTAACAAATGATATCTAATGTGTGGTTATTTGAGGGCAGATTTAATTTGATTACTGGTTATTACATTGTTCATTGTTGTTTCATTCAGGTAACTGATATTGATGATGGTCTTCTTCAACTGAAAAATCTTAAACAACTTACCTTGAGTGCAAATTTAATCAGGAATATTGATTCAAAGAGACTTCCAAAGGGATTAGAGGTATATTCCTTATATTATCCTGATAATAATTATGATAAATGGATTGCTATTACTAACCAGACATTTCTCTTTTTATAATTCTAGTTTATCTCTTCTAAGTATATAATTGATGACAAAATAAAAAATATTGTCAAGGATGTAACAATAAGCTAATCTTTACACAATACTTTGAAATTAAGAGCTTAAGATTCTAACTATTCACAGAATAAATTCTCAATAAGTTGCTCTTTTCTATTTCCAGGAGTTGGAACTAGCAGCCAATCAAATCTCAGACATAAATCCTTTGTGTGTATGCCCCCCACCCCTTATTCATTTGGGACTCAGCTACAATCTGATTTCTTCTATCACAGGACATATGAAAGCAAATTCATGGTACTTATCTCAGCATTTTTTACATTAGGCTTTCAATTAATGAAATGTAACAAATTAGTTCACAATGAAATAGTAGCTGAGGAGTGAACAAAGGACCTGACCCAGACCTCTCTCATCTTTCACTCCTCTACTACTATCGTGTTGTTTACTATATGTTTCATTTCACAAACTGAATACCTGGAAAACATTCTTTTTACATCAAAATATAGTAGAGGCTGGACAGAATCCTTACCCGAATGGTTTTCAATCTGCTTACAAAGTAATAGTGGATTCATGTACTTGCTTGAAGCCACTCTCACTTTAAAAACAAGTTCATCACAACCTTGCACATGTCTGTGTTACATAATTATCAGCGGGAAAAAGGAAGGGCTAATGCTTGAAACATCACCTTTAGATTTCTTTACGGTAGCCAAATTAAAAAATATACACCTCCCCACTGATGTAGCACCACGATTTCTTTAGTAACTTACCCTCTTTATTAATTTGTCCTAATTGTTAGTCTGCTGAGCTCAGGAATAAGTGGTACACGTTCAGGCCCCACTGAATCATTATTTTTAGTTCTCAGGTGAAGCAATTGAACCAGAAAGAGCCTCTGTTCACCCAGGGGAACAAATTTTTATTTAAAGAAAATTAAAAAATCGTTACAAGACTCCAGGAAATCTGTCAAAATACTGAAAGTTACTCATAATTTATATCCAGTCTTGCAATCACCTAATGAGTAACAGCAGAAAAACTTATTTTTAAAAATAATTCAAATTTACCATTATAACCAGTACTTGGTAGTTAACTTTTTCCTTATGTTCATTCTTAGGCCACACCTTTTATCTTTGGATTTAAGCTTCAATAATCTTGCAGATTTATACCACACCATCAATGTGCTTAAAACTCTACCTAAACTGAAGAATCTTGTTCTTCAAGGAAATCCTTTAGCAGTAAGTTTCCTAATATCTGCTATTTTACCTTCCTTAGGTATGACTCTTGTAGGATAGCATCTTAGAAAAATTGATGTCATTCACTGCTAGGTACATACAGAAAAAATTTTCCACATTGACACTTTGGAAGCATTTTGATTTTAAATCAGAAGGTTCTTTGGGAGAGACAAGCGTTGAGTTATCATGATGACACAGTTCACTGGGTTGAACTTGCACTGTTGCTTTTAAGGTGACAAATGTCGTTTGATCTTTAATCATTTCCTAAAATAAACATCTTTGATTAACTTTTTCAGCTTGTACCAGGTTACCGTGGTTATGCAATTGACTCCATTCGTCAACTGACGATTCTGGATGATATCAGAATATCAGCTGATGAAAAGCATTTCTTTAAAGGGCTCTCTAAACTGAAAGGTATGCCTCTGTTTTCTCCATTTGAAAGGTACTATTTACTCAACTATAAATTTAAAGTATTACCGCAAGTGATAGTACTTAAAGTAAAGTAACATCATGCATATGGTACAAGGTAAATCTAAAAATATTTGTTGATGTTTTTCAGATGTTCCTGTTGATGAAGCTCAGATAATGGTGTCCATCAAGACCATTAAAGGTGTTAAAGTACCTCCAGAGATTGAGGTAACTTAATACCTGACTTCCATTACTACTGGTTGAAGAGGGAGTGTCGAATAAGAATGTTTAACACTGAACCAGCCAGGGCTTAAATCCAGATCCTCTTAACTTAGAGTTCAGCCCACTTACCATCCAATTATTTTGCCTCCTCATATAAATAGGGATTAAGCAAAACACATGTTAATTAACCCTTTCACACCCAGTGGTGACAACCATAAAACTTCGCTTTGTGGCTCCAATTTGTTATCTTGGAAAAGGTTATGAAAACAAACAAGCTTATCAGCCAGAGGGTTAATACAAACATGGTCTTTTGAGAAAGTTTAATTTTTCTTTGCCAACTTGATATGATGGAATTTTTTTTTTCTTTATAATATGAGAGCAGAGTGCAATTTACTCTATCAGCTAGGAACAGCCATTGAGTAACCAGTGCTGTTACCATTACATTTCAAATGACTTTTGTTCTACAGGATCCTGAAATAAATGCAGACTACCCCAAGACTGAACACAGATATCATGTAGAATTCCAATTCCTTAAAACTGAATCCACAACTGTGTTGTGCCAATCACCTGCTTTGTCAGTACCAACCATCTCCATCACTGGAGATGATGCAGAGAGTGAAGCCCTGGAAGAAGGCACAGTTTGGAATGAGGATAATCAAACATATAAAAACTCTGGTAAGTTAGTTTTTTGATGATTATAGTCCAACTGTGATATTTTTTAAATGGATCATACCTCTAGTGGTTCATGGGTGAAGGACCTGCCAGCATTGACAAGTCTCTTTTCCCTTAGGTGGTGTGATTAGTAAAAGGGGGGTAAGTTTCTAAAGAAGCTGTCAGTGGTTCTAGGTCAGTGGGGGAGTAAACAAGGTAATTTTGGTTTTATCAACTAAGTTGATGATGTAGATTGGCCACCATAAAGAGTTTCAAAACTGATGTTTCAAGCAGTAGCTCTTCCTCAGCTCATATCTCTGACAAAGGGCTAATGCTTGGTGTTTGCCTCTTTCTCACCACCCCCAATATAAAATTGATTTTTTATTATCTAATGTAATAGTTATGGTTTGAGTTCAGTATTTTTTTTTTATACTGATGGTACCAAGGTCTTTTGTTAATGGTGGTGGGGTTGAGTAATTGATCTTGCATAGGAGTTTATTTCATGACTAGGCATCACAACAGATGATCCTTTGGCAACTTCACCTATTAGTGCTTCCTTTATATTAATGATCCCTTAAAACTAATTAATTTGAATATATCAACAAAGTTCATAAATTAAATAAGATATCTGTAACTGGAAAAAGCCATAAAGTACCTTTCATCTTACAGGTTTGTTGCAATCAGTAGCAACAGGAAGTTTACCATGGAACGAGGACTGTATAGAACTGGACTAAAGCAAGAAGTTCCACACTCGTTTGTTGGTCCCACTCAGAGACTTCATCAAAGATGGAATAAATTTCACTGTCGTAAAGACCAAACACATGTATGTTGTGGAGGATCCTAATGCAACAGCTCAGCATGAAGAAACCAAGCTACCAGCTTCAGCAAAAAGTAAGATAATACACTGCTTGTTTTAAGTGCTACTGCAGTGAAAAAAATCCAATTTCCCTATATCTCTCTCAATTCCGATGTTATTTTTGGCCAAGAAGCAAAGTGTAAATTATTTAAACTCGATTAAAAAAAAGAGCCCTTTGAGGCAGTGTACTGGATGCTGGTCATATATTTCCATGGTGAAGTGCTAAAATCTGCAGTTTTTGTGAGTAGCATACATATACCTGTAAAAGTAAGGTGTTGCTAGAAAGATTTATAGACCACTTACATAAATGGCTGCTGGATTAATATTCTTTTGTTTAAATTCAAATTAGCCTTTCTGGCCTCGTTCTCCAGTACAAAATTCAAAAGAATACATTATCTCAAGCAAGGCCAGAAAGGCTAATTCAAATTTAAACAAAAGAATATTAATCTGCAGCCAGTTATGAAAGTGGTCAATAGCTCAAACCCATTGTTGTGAAACAAACGAACTTATTCTTTGTTGATATATATTATCACAATGTATGAGTATATTGTATCAGAGTCATTCAAATATTTTCTCTCCTTTCTTACCAGGTAGACCAGGAAGTAAAATACAGAAAGCTCCCAGCAAGGAGAAGAGGAAAGAGTCAGCAAAAGCAAGGGACAAGGTTTGCAAATAAATCAACTGTTTCTCAGAAAACATGTTATCACTATAATACAGTCCCTTGAGGTTGTGCATGCCTTCCATCTTTAGCTTGTTTATTCCCCTTTGGAATGTGTGATGATGTCAAATGTCTGAACCTTAAAAAAATTCACTTTCAATGGAAATTCACCAATTGTTTTTGAAGCAAATGTGACTTTTGATGAGGGTAGTGGCTGGATCTTTTAACAACACAATGTAAGCTTGTTCTTTGAATTTCCAGGCTAAAGATGGAAAAGGCAGGAAAAATAAACAGGATGATATTGAGTTATTTGAGCTACCCAGAACTCGCTACATACTGGGATCTTGTAATGTTCCACTGAATTCTCTACTGGAAGGAGAACTGGAAGTGGAGATTGAGAGTGTATGTGAAGGAAGAGAGGAGACTGGTGATAGTGATAAAAAGGATGCAGCGTCTGGTACTAAGTCTGATGTCAGTGAAAAGAAGAAGCAAAGTAAAGGTTTGTGAATACCTTGTGTGCGGGAGGGGTGTGTGGTAGTTTCCAGGGGAGTGTAGTGCTTCATAAAGGTTAGTATGCTAGACTCAGGATTGAGAGCTCCAGCCAGAGCCCTGACTTTGTCCTTTTGTTGTGTTCTTGGGAAAGACACTTCCTTCATATTGCCTCTCTGCACTCAGTGGTACATGTGGGTAAAACCAAACAGTTAAAAAAAATTGACAAGTATTACTCAAGGGGTTAGCTGTGATGGTCTCACATCCTACCCAAGGACAGGAGGAAATAGCAATACTATGATACATTATGCTACACCTAAGCATCAATAGTTATGGGTCTCCTGGCCTCCACAGTTTAAACCTTATGATCAAGGTTTCCTTATGAAGATGACTTGTGAGAAACCATTTTGTTTGATCTCATTAGACTCTACTGATAAGTCATCCAAAGGAAACCCACGTGCAGGTTCTCCAGGAAAAGCAAAAGGTGGCCGTGGAAGGTCAAGTAAAGATGATAAAAAGACTAAAGAAAAAGATAAACAGGAGGAAAATTTGGAAGGCGAGGAAGAAGCAACTCATCTGCCACCATTAACAATACAAGTGCAGATCAAACTACACAACTGGAAATCTGCCAGGGAAGCTGTTCAAGAGTTTTTACCACAAGGCATCCCTTCGCATGCAGAGCAGAACTAGGGTCACCTCCTTTTGCCCCATTAATGTAAGGAGTCGTCAGCTGTTAATTACAATAAAAATGTATTTTATTTTTTACACCCAACTGTTCAATAGTTGTATCTTTCATTACATCAACAATAAATTGTAAAATACATGTCTGAAACTGTAGGTTTTGTACATAACACTATCTCAACTTGTTCTTTTATAAATAATTTAGTACCTTCTGTGTTATCAGAAATTACTCCATCCCAAAGAACATTAACTAACATGAGCAGAGTTCACCAGTTTTACTGTGTAAAGATAACCAGTAAAAAAAAAATAATGATGAAAATAAAATGTCCTGCATTTTGTAAAAAAGAAGTTTGAGAAGTATTACGCACAATTCCGATTGTTATCCAATGTTTACTGTAGTGTTTACCAAACAATTCTCATCATCATTAAAAATTCCTGGTCTATACCAGTACACTGATATTGTCTGCAAAACGCTGTCTCTATTCATTATTCTAATTTGCTTTATCATTGGCCATATTCTTTTAAAAGTCTTGCAGCAATAACAATTCTTTGCACTTCACTTGTTCCTTCATAAATCTCTGTGATTCTTGCATCACGATAATACCTCTCAGCAGGCATATCAGTAACATAACCCATACCACCAAGGACTTGGATGCACTCAAGAACAAAATGGTAAATAATCATCATTATCATCATCATGAATATCTCTACCATCATTGCAATCACTGTTGCAACTACCAGGAAACATCTTAATTATAACTTGGAATTTTAAATACCTCTCACAGTGAAAATGGACAAAAACAAAAACAGAAGTATTATAGTGCAGATTGGTGAGACTGGTCTTTAAAGTGACCATCAGTGTGGGTATATAAGATTGATAAAGAACTTAATTGTGACAACACCTATGAAAAGATTTCCTTGGGGATTAACCTTAATTTATTTTTTAATTTATGTTGCATCGGAAGGGTATAGGGAATCAACCAAATATGAACTTACTACTATTGGTTTTGGTTTTGTTTATTTGACATTACAACAAAACCCAGTGTGATTGAAGCCTGATACATTCAGTTGAGTTATTAATTATTTAATGGTTATCAAAAAGTGTAAGAAAAAAATTTAAAAAATACCTGATGAGAAATGTAAGTAGCAGCTTCAGATGCGGCAAGTTTTGCCATTGCTGCCTCCTGAGAAATAGTTTTCATGATTAAAGTTACTATGACGTTAAAAAAATCCACAAATATCTGTTTAATCATTGTGTTTATCCTTACCAGCATCACACCATTAATTCTAAAGGTCCAAGGGTTGAATCTTTGTTTTTACACAAAAAATCAGTTAATAAATGGACCCATCTTTAGTATATCACTTGATACTTTGTTAAAGCATACCTTAGTGAAGTTTTCTCCTGCATCTTTTAGCATTGCTGCCTTCCAAGTCAGAAGTCTGGCACTTTCTAATTTTACCTCCATATCTGCCAGCTTCATCTACAGTATACAATAAAAAACAAAGCAAAACAAGAAATTTGTGTTACAGAAATGTACAAAATGTATTATTACATTTATTGATACTCATGTTTGAGTGTTGCTGTTGAAATGAACTGTGTTCTTGAGAATATTGCCAATTACCTGAACTCCCTGTAAACTTGCAATTGGCTGTCCAAAGGCATTTCTTTTCTGTGCATAGTCAACTGCACATTCTAATGCAGCCTGAAAACAGAAAAACTCTTTGATAGGTGCTAAGACAATTGCTTTGCCTATCACATGTTGGTTAATGTTATACTTTTTTTATTATGCATACTATACAGAGAAAAATGTTCAAGCTTAAAACTCTGCTTGTTCTTCTTCAACTCCACACAATCAGTTGACTCTATTACTTCTCATGAAAACAAAAACTATGCATATTAGGAAGGTAAGTAAGTAAGTAAGTAGACTTTATTGGAGAGGGTGACATTTGACAGTAACTAAACTGATAACCTAATAGCCCTGGAAGTAAACAAGAGAAAATTAATAAAAAACTGACCTACAATCTAGCAAATATAATTTATATAAAAAGGATATAAAACTACTAGATATTAATAAAAGACAGAGTACTAAATTGATTTATAGAGTGATCCTTTAAAATGTTTTACCCTAGGACTAGCGTTAAGATCTACATTTAGCTTGTTCCATTCTTGGATTGCTATTACCGTGAACTTCCGGCCACCTTCCGTACATCTCTTGTAGCGAGGACAACTTAAATTTAGATTACATAATCTGGTTTTTTTATTATGGATGTCAGAGCTTTTGATTAGTAAGGTAATATTACAAAAACTATGGATATTATGTAGTAAGTAATATTTACAATATTAGTACCTGAGCTATTCCTAATGCTTGCCCTGCAATTCCAATACGACCTGCATCAAGCGTGGACTAAAATTTAACACATACATGTCTAAGTTTATATATAGTTACATATTAAAGGCTTTGTTGAATTTCTCATTACAAAGAAAATACCTTTTTACTTGAAATAGTACATCAAATAGGCAAACAAAAATCAAATCCTTGAATGAGAAGAACATTCTAACCATTGCTATCTTGAATCCAGCTCCAAGTTCTCCAAGAAGATTCTCCTTTGGAATGATGCAGTTCTCAAAAATAAGTAAACAAGTGGAGGAGGCTCTTATTCCCAACTTGTCCTCCTTCTTTCCAAGGCTCAGTCCTTCTGTCGGCTTGGGTACAATGAATGCACTGATTCCCTTGTGTTTCTTGGATCTGTCTGTTGTGGCAAACACTACTGCTGCTTCAGATTCATAACCATTAGTGATCCAGGCTTTTGTTCCATTCAAAACCCAATGATCTCCATCTAATTTGGCAGTGGTTGAGGCAGCACCAGCGTCACTACCATTGTCTGGAAAATTCAAAGACAAAATCAGCAGCTGATTTTCGTTCCTAGCTAGTCTCACAAATTCCAGAGAGTATGTAATAACATCAATGACAATAATTTAGCAGGTGACATTCCACAATGTGGCTCTTCCTGGACACTGTTTCCAAGATGAATTGGAATTTGGAATGTTGGATTTTGAGGAGGGAGAAAAACCCTTTAAGCAAACACAAGAACAAACACCAAAGGCAACCTACATGTGACACCAGGTCTGATAATCAAACCTGGGAGGTGAGCACTCTCACCACTGCAGCATTTCTGCTCTCCAATATATTGAAATACTATCACTTAATATGATCATGTAAAATGAAACTAACAACAATTTTAATGTATAGTCTGAAAAAAATCCAAGTTGCAGATGGGATTTGAACCCACAACCCTCCGTGATCTAGTCTGGTTTGAGCATCCGACTAGATCACGGAGGGTCATGGGTTCAAATCCCATCTGGGACTTGGATTTTTTTCCAACTATACATTAAAATCGTTACTTAATTAATTGTACAAATAAATACTCTCCCATGATGAATGCTTCTCATATTGTTCTAACAGTTGCTGCCTCCCCAGAAATGTCACCCATAACAAGGACATGTATATCTTATGAATTCCTAAGAATAAATACCTGGTTCACTGAGAGCAAAACAGCCAACTCTTTCTCCAGAGCAGAAAGGTGTCAGCCACTTCTTCTTTTGTTCCTCTTTCCCAAATTTTAGAAGAGGACCAAGGTAAAGGGACTGAAAAATACCAAACAGTGATTGTTTATCTTTTGCTCTTACTGTGATACTGAACAATACCAGATGAAGATAAGAACTCTTAATTAATAAATCTGCCAACACATTCAGAACTTGTCCCAAGAATGATTGTTCCTAATAATTTGTAAGGTTGTGGTGTCAATCTGGTGGTTCCCATTGTTATTACCCTACAGAAAAAATATATTTTGCCAAGTTGATTGAAACTCCATAAATTTCAAGTGTGATCTCTTAACAGAGTGAATTGCCTTTCTTAGTTAATTACATAACCTTTGCATGATATAACTGGCCCAAAAATACCTTGTTTTATATATTAAGTATCTTACATACATTATTTACACTCATGACGACCCCTGTGGATGCACAGCCACGACTGATCTCCTCCATTGCTATAGCATATGCCAGATAATCCAGCCCTGACCCTCCTAATGATTCAGGGACTTCCATAGAAAGAAGACCAAGTTCCCCAATCTGTTTGACCTGAGAGACATTAAATGGTATGTGGGCAAAACTTACTGCAAGTAAATTTGATGGCAATCAAACTAAATTCATTCTAGTATTCTAACAAATTAGGAATTCTAAGTTATTTGACAAAGTGATATCAAAGAATAATTAACAGTAATTAATCATTTGTAAAAACATTTGTTTTAAATTTTTTTAACTATTTTGGAGCCACAGTTTCATTTCATAGTTAATATAATGCAAGGGAGGGGTGGGGAGAGGAGAGGACAGAAGTGGGGAAGTGGAAGGGGGCGAGGGGGGAGGGGTAAGGAATGACACTGAGCAGAGTTTCCAGTTGACTAACTGAATAAAAGTTAAAATATCGTACTAATGTGGAAACAAGTTGCTGAGACAGGTCTCTGCCACATACCTACTCTTATGCACAGTTTTCATTATTGACCACTAACAAGTCTTTGCGACTCACTTTGTTACGCAATCATCGATTTCACAAATTAATATTGAGAAAATACGCATCTTCGTGAGGAACAAAGTTCAAATTTTAGTGGCAAGCGACAGATTTTCGCTAAAATTCCTCAAATTGTCGCCTCATAACTTTACAGGCTTTTCTTCAAGAGGTCTTCAAAAGAAAAAATATAAATTCATTTATCTGGTGTAATGCCATACTTCCGCTTACATCCTACACCATTAAGAGTGGATCTTCAAGCTAAAACTGAGTTCCTTGTAACGTCAAGATAAAAAATTGGATATAATTTCAAATAACTCTACCTGTTCTGCAGGATATCTATGTTCTTTATCCAGATTACCAGCAATGGGTACAAGTTCGTTGTCTGCAAAATCTCGACAAGTTTTTCTCAACATTTCATGCGTTTCGGGAAGTTGAGCAAGACTTGCCACATGCCTTCTCAATGGTACATATCTCTCAATTCTTAACCTCGGTAGAAGGCCGTGAGAATAATGTTTTGAAGAGATAAAAGAAGATAAGAGTTTTCGAGACATCTTCGTCGCCATCTTTGTTGACCTTTGGAACCAGGCCGTGTACGCATTTTAGGTCAGGATTGATTGCCAGGATGTGATGTAATCGGTCGTAGTGTGAAGTGCATTGAAGTTGAGTATTTCGCCATCATCCTCCGATCCGTTACTCATGCATGGTTAAGTATGGTTTGCTGAGAATTAGGGAGCAGCATGTTTAGCAGAAGGTTTATTTCACCGTTTGCTGTTTTGTTACCAACTGCTTCCTCGAATTCCAATTTTGCCAGAAGAAAATCATGGCTTCTTTTGGGACAATACAACATGTATGCTAACAGCGTTAAAAACAAAAGTCAAACAGGAAGTAGGCGTTGCTGGAAGTGCAATAGTGAGATCAGATCAGGAGTAGAGTTCTTCTGTCCCTCTTGCAACATCATTCAAAGGCCACCAAAGAAAGCGACCTATTTTGAGCTAATGGGAAGGTAATGAAATGAATGAAAGGTCAGCTGTTAATTCACATACCGCTCTTCCTCTTAGCCAATCACATTTTAGGTAATGTAGGTGTAGGAGATCTAAGGTGGGAATAACCGAAATGTTCTTTAGGGCTGGGATGCTGTGGGCTAAAAAAATTGTTTGGCTTCAGCAAAACTCTTGACAAAATTTTTCTTACAAAATAAACGAAAATTTACCCAGTGCACCCAGACTATTAGCTGTCTTACTTTCACTTGACACTGTACCTTGATGATGATTTAGTGGGGATGAACTGGTAAGTGCAAGAACAGATCCAGTTGTTGTCAAGCAGGTATTTGCAGGGGACGTTAAAGAACCCACTCAAGAGATTACTGTGATGTGGTCTGGCCTGTTTACTGGGAATTGGAGGGAGGGGGCATCTTCAAATAGGTTTCCTTTGATTGTTTGTAAACTGCCGATGCAGTCCAGCCAAAGTCCCCCAAAAAGTGTTGTGATGTGCATTTGATCATATCCACATGTTAATTTGTGCAATATAAATATTAAATTGTTGTAATTGTTGTAATTGTTGTTGTTGTTGAAGTGGGTTGAAACTTCCGTTTTACAACTTTGTTGGTGGATAGATCAGATACCAGAGATATGAAAATGAATTTCTTAATTTTGTGCTTTTTGTTAACTTACACAAATTACAGTATAATGTGTGATCCTGGGGTTGTGCTTGAAATACTGATAAATTATGATTATTCTTATATATTTTTTTGGTTTTTTTCACGCAGTCCCACCTCATTTGACATTGATACCAAGCGGCTGACTCAACATTATAAAGAATTACAATGGAAACTACACCCTGATAAATTTAGTGATCTATCCAAGGTATTACCAGTTTGACATACAAGGCTGATCACAAAATGTTTGACAGAACTATTAATTTCTGATTAATATAAGAAAGGGGGAATCTCGTGATGCAAATGACATCCATTTGAGCAGGAGAGGGGAGTGAAGGGGGTGATGTGAACTCAAGTGGAGATTATCTTTATTATCTTAGTATGATGTAAAGAAAGAAAGCAAGAAGTGTCATTCAAGCAACCAATACAACAGCTTTATATGTTTCCATAGACGTACAATTAGCACCTGTTCATTCTCAGATTAGCACATATTTTAGGGGGTCTGTGAAGAAGCCAGTAAAGACCAAACATACTGAAAAAGCATCTCAAATAGCTCAGAGTACTTATTACAGAAACTTTATATGTATTCTCTCTTCATTTTGAAATATGAACAGAGAAAAAATCAGATCTTACCTCAGTTATCTATATCATTTCTTTCACAATTATACCTCTTCTTGACTTACAGTTTAAATAGTGATTCATTGATTGGCTGATAGCTGGCATTCTTCAGAATTCATTTTGCTAATTGCTGTGATTTAATCACAGAAAGAGCAAAGCTTATCTGAGGAACAATCGTGTTTGGTAAATGAAGCTTACCACACGCTTCTAAAGCCACTTACCAGAGGGCTTTATCTGGTAAGTTCAGGTGACAATATTCAACATTTATTCCATGAGCGCGCATTGGATATGAGATGATAGATAGCCAACAAGGCGCGTAGCGCAGAGTTGGCTATAATCATCTCATATCCAACAAGCGTGAATGGAATAATTGTTTTTTTAAAAAAAAACGCCCCCAAGATATTAGATAAACCTTCTTGACTTTATTTTGTAAGAAGAAACTGGATGTTACAATGTACAGATATTAGATTATGGTATATTGGCTCATATACCATAATGGCTGAGCCAATAAAAAGTCTTGAATTGCATTATCCAATGATCCAGTGTTTAATAATAACCCTTACACCCCTCAGGGTAATTTCTCCTCATGATATCACCCCCTGATAACACATTAAGGTCAGGTCATGGGAATAGGGGCAGTGATCACCAATTAAAGCAGTTCTTGATTGCTAAACAAATTCTCCTTGTCAGCATCCTTGGAAATGTATAGAGAAGAGTATGGAGAATATCCATACTGGTGTTAGGGCTAAGTTCCCAGTTCCCTCATCAACAGAGAATGCCTTAACCCATATGCCACCTCCTCCCCCCCCCTCAAGATGTACAGTTCAACTCACTACACTGTCTGCCATACATTTCCTATAACTTAAGCTCTTAGAATATGGTTCCATATAGAATCAAACAAAAAAATAACGACTCAAATTTTGTTGTTCCAGTTAAATTTGAATGGAATACCTATAACAGAAGATGAAGCTACCTCAACTGATACAAAATTCTTGGGTCTAATTATGGACAAATATGAAGAAATTTCATCAAGTGAGAAAAAGTTGAAGGAAATAAAAAAGGAAAATAGTGGTAAGAACTTTTGAAAAAAATAGAATGATATAAATCCATTTGACTTCTTCCATTTGTCTCCAAAAGGGACACTTGTCTTAGCCATAATGTGGTGCAGTTAATTACAAACTTGTTGTTCATTTTTAGGAGATTTAGAAAAATCTGTCAGAAAGGTTTCAAGGGCTTTTGAGAAAGGTAAATGAAGATTTTTTGGGAATTTTAAAATACTCAAAGATATTTAAAAGTATACAGCAATCAGAAAGCTTGGATTTTAAATTTTACTTTTTAGACAGCAGTTTAAGGCCTCATTAGAACAGTTTGTATATTATACAGCAATCATTTATCTCTCTGCAAATCAGACAGGCTTGGTAATTTTATCAAGTATTAATCAGTAGAAAACGTTTTTTAATCTCTACAATTTGTCATCTACAAACTGTGATATATGTATATAATTATATATATATATATTTAGTATATACTAAAACAGTGGATAGCGTTGAAGGCGCGCTCTGATTGGCTAGTCAAACTCCGAATATCCTTTGCTATTTACCTCCAAGCAACTCGGGGAAAAAATTGCGTCCCGGTTTGCATCCATGACACGCGAAGAAATCACTCAAATTAGAGACGGTGGTGTATATTATCTCACTGTTTTAGTATATACTAAAACGACTATTCACCTCAGTGTTGGTGGTTAGCGGTGGATATTTACCTCGTCGCTTCGAGGCCCGGTAAATATCCATCACCAACCACCTCCACTTCGGTGAATAGTTGTTAAATATATGCTGAATTCTGATGAATCAAGTGGCATAATGGATTATATTTAACAATTATTCACCGAAGGTGAGGCGAATATTGTTGAATAATCCCCTCAACTTCGTCTCGGGGATTATTTGACAATATTCACTGAACCTGAGGTGAATAATTGTTTTAGTATAATTTCAGAGCTGAACAACAGAGAAATCTCTAAAATCATAACATTTTAGTAACATTTATTAACATTTTAGTTGAACATTTTATATAAACCGCGCGGAGCGGTTTATATAGCGTCATATAAGGAACCGCTCGACCAATCAGATTGCTGGAAACTCTTTGCTCAGCTCTGAAATTATACTAA